TAACAATAATAGTGATAAAACAATAATTAAAAAAAAAGTTGTAATTTCTTGACTACGAATACAGTTTACAGTAAAAATGTCTTACTCTAAAACTCAAAAAAACTGAAAAAGTTATGTTATGTCAAATATTATCAACAAAACCGAAAAATTAATTTTACTACAACTTTTTGAGAAACAACAAAAGTGTAATACCGACATCCCAAAAATTTATTTAACATCTCGCATTCCGTATAAAGAATTAAAACCGAAGAAATATTCAATATTCACTTCAATATATAGTATAACTTATGATAATTATAATAGCTCAACTTACATTATAATTAATTATAATAACTTATTTGTTTAAACTGAAATAAAAGATTTAAATATTATTTATATTTGCTATTTTATATATATTATATATATTTTTGTCATTTCAATTAACTACACAGAAATATATGTTATGAATAAAATAATAAAATATGAAATGGAATTAAAAAAAATTGTTAATACTCGCAAATCAATAAATAAATAAACAGTGTATATATAGAACGAAATGAATAAATATTTGGTTTGGAGTATTATATTTGTAAAGTACGACCGGTTTCGAATTACAAATTCATCTTCAGGTAAGTACAAATTCAATGAAATCGTGATTGAAAATAAAAAAGTAGATTAAGAAATTCATTCAGAGAAAATGTTCTCATTTTACATGGAGATCATTTATTTTAATAGTAGAGATTATTAAAAATAAGTTCTTAATATGCATAGATACGATAAAAAATATAAATACTAGATAATATAATAGAATATCGACAGAAAATATAAGATATTATTTTTAAATTAGGTTTGTATATTTGAAAAATTATTAAAATCATTTTTTTAATTTCATTGTGTACGTATAACTCTTCTAAAACCGAATTAATGTAAATGTGATTTTTGGTATTTATTATTTATAAGTCTGTATGAATATTTAAATCTATACTATGGTTATTTATAAAGCATGTTTATCAAAATTTTAATTAGGCGCAGTCTTTTCGATTTTATTTCAGAAATGTTTACTTTATATGTTATTTTAAAATTTTTATTTGTTTTGTCTTTATGAAATTTAATACAATAACATTTCAATTCATATATTACAGCATTTTCAATAGGAGGATTTTTATAGTGAAGATTTTAGTTCTATTATTTATATGTTTGGTGATTTTTACATGATTTGTTTTATTGTGTAGAATATTAATGAATTGGTTAGATATTAGTAATGTTATGTATATTCGAATTATTCGAATATCAGTATTCGATGCTACAATACCTAATTTGTTTTATCCATTTTTCCATGACAAGCTTTTTATACTATTTATTATTAATAAGTAATCCATATCTACATAACTAAAGACAATGTATGTCAATGATTAATCGACCTAAATACGAAAATAGTTCTTATCTTGCAGGTACCTGTTCGTAATTAGCTTTATTTTACTCGTTATAACTTGTGATAACCATACTCGTTATAGACGTATGTTTTAACGTAAAATTATATGTGCCGTGCCGGGACCTAACCTTTTGCTTGTTGTAAGCAGTATCTCGTTCTAAGCGATGCTCGATATAGTGATTTATAGTTTATACTGTATTAATAATATTCAGGCCCACCACTAGCCAGCTTGGGAAGCTAGAATAGTGGAAGGGGCCAAAAACCCCGGGTTGACCCACCGACGTCAACTAAAAACCCAGTCGGTACCACGGGAGGGGGAGCCCCACCGCACGCCGGACCGGCCGGGCCGCTCCGGATCCGGTGCCCCCAAGGTTGAGGAACCTAACTCGGCTGAAACGTGGTAGCAGTGGTACAGCGCAAGATAGTAACAAAACCACAACACCCAGTGGAAACCGCGGGTCCCAACACGGTTCTCATGTCCGCGGTTGAAAGGGTACGGGCGAAAGCTCGGTGCTGGTGGTCCTTATGACGACCCGGGCTCCTTGGTCATACCTTGGGGTTCGTTCGACCGCGCCTCTTGAGAAACGCCTCGCGTTAATAGAAGGTGTGCGGGCGAAAGGCCTCGGCCACAAAACCGGATCTCGTGTATTAATAATAATTTAATTATGATGTTCGAGTATTTTGCACAATTTTTATTTTTGTATTATAATTGCCCTGTGAAATAGTAAATATCGCTGGCATCGAATTCACTTCTCGCAAGTCTTTATGCACCATAAACCATATAATATTATTATTAATCGTTTTGTGTTGCGCAAAAACTTAAACGAATAATTTTCGTTACGTATTGTAGCATCGAATACTGATAGTGGCGGATTCAGGGGAGGGGCACAAGGGCACGTGCCCCCCCCCTGTAAATTTTCTATTGACAATTCTTTTTTTACGTTACTACGAGTAGGTATCGTTTAAATGAAAAATACAATAAATTAGAATAATATTACCTACTAGTATAATAATTATTTAAATTTAAACTGGATCGATATGTTTGCTAAAAAACGAAGACTTCGACTTCAATTCGACCTACAAGACTATAAAGTATGAGAATCTATAAAGATATTTTTATTTATTAATAACTAAGTATATGAATAATAACTTGCCTATAGGTATAAATTATTATTTTGGTGTGTGATATTATGTTATCAAACTATATTAAATATATTACCAATTTTGTTTAAAAATAAAATTATGTAATACTAATTATTATTTAATAATCATTATACAATTTATAGATGCCCCTCCCTATCAAAATAACCAAGATCCGTCTCTGAATACTGATATTCGAATGTTCGAATATTCGAATATTTCCCATCACTATTAGTTATATTATTTTGATACTTCTCTTGTAACTATACTAAAATAGTTAACAACAATTTTTGGTGGGTTGTGTTTAATTTTTTCTTTAATACGTTCAAGATTTTTTTTGTTAATATTTAAATTTTAACTATTTTTATGGGCTATACTATATTGACCAGTGGTGCACAACCATGTAAAAGTTATAAATTATATATATTATTTTGTATACATTTTTATTTATGTTTTAAATTGTAGAAAACTATACTTAAGTATTTTTTTTATTTTGATTTTATTTTTAGGATTATTTCAATAAAAGAAATTGACAAAAATTAACGATTTAATTCATACGAATAAAATGTTGGTATTTAATTTGAGGGTTGTGGATCAAAAAATGTTGCTCACCGCTGTTATAGATAATATTGAGTTTATAATGATAATTAAGTTTATTTAATGGAATACGTTCAAGTTTATAAAATATTGAATTAAAAAATGATATTTTTTAAGATGATTAAAATCATGTGGTATTATAGAATCAATTTACGTAGTTTTTTCGGTACATTTTAAACACAATTGTTTTATCTATTACGAAAATTGTAAGGTCTAAGAAATTTTAATACCGCGGAAAATATAATTCGAAGAAATACAAAACCTTTCTATAAATGTACTATTTTTTTTTTCAATTGTTTTTTTATGAGTTTAAGCCATCGATTACATAATTGTTGGGCGGCGATTTCGGTATTATTTCTATTTCTAATATATTTTAATATTAAATACATGTACATATTATTAAAAATGATTAACTGTCTATATACTGTCCATATCTGATTCACTGAATGTACTACTTGGTACGTCAAACATATGTTTGAGAATTTTAATTTCAGTTTCAGTTAATCAATTAGTATATTGAATAGTTCAGATTAAATATTTGAAAAACTGTAATTTAGTTCTAACTTCAATAAATTTCCCACAGCACTAATTAAATCTCAATCTTATACTTATACCATTGATAAGATTATCTAATAACAGATTAAATATAGAACACAAAAGTTTTTCATACTTTGGAAATATAAAAAAATTAACTAGATTCATTTTCACTTTTTTTCTTTTAACCGTATAATACCTATATCAATATATTTGGCAGTTACTTCCTCAAAAAATGTATTAAAAAATGTATCATTTCTCATAAATATTAACGAACTTTTAAGTGCTTGAATATAATTAATAGTTGTTATTATATCAAGTTTATCCATCTGAAATCCTGAACTTATTTTTAAAATAATTTTCAAAATTGATTCCATAAGCCTAAAATAAATTCAAAACTTTGAAGTTGGTGAAGTAAACCAATACCTTAAGATTTCAAACATGGAACTGTACAATTTTTACTGTACACCCATTTTCAACAACATCTACAATAAAAGCAAAAGGTAGCATCTATACTTGGACTATACTCTAATCACTTATAACTATTATACCAATTTTTTTTTTGAATAATCGTTATTCATTATTATTTGTTGTCATTAAACGTTAAAAACCGATTATTTACGTTCAAATATCAAAATATTCAATGAAATTCGACAATATTATCAGCAAACCACTTAATAACTATTACAATCATAATGTAATGGAATACACGATTCTGTTCGATAGGAATTAATATTTTTCGAAGAAATAAAAACACATTAATACCGTTTTATAATATTTAGATTTTTCAAGATTTAAAATTTTACACTTAATTAATAATAATAAATAGGGCCCTAGCCGTATTGGCTAGGAGAATCCGGGGATGCTCGGGCACCATCTACACCAACTCTGCGCACGCCTATGACGGTGACGGAACTGTTCTTTACCCCAGAATAGAATCGTTCAAACAAGCGTAAAAAAAATTTACGAAAGTAGCTGAGTACAATTTATTAGGTAATATGAAACCGTTTTCATATACCGTTCAACAATTGTGTTGTATTTATTTTTGGAAATAATCTTGAAAATTTTAATACATTTATATATATATATATATATATATATATATATATATATATATATATATGTGTGTGTACTTAAATTATAAAATAAATAATATTTATTATTTATTTAAATGAATAAACCAAATAAAAATCATCAGTTTGGTGTTAAAAATGGCGTATATTTGGTTTTCAGAATAAATGCTAAAAATACTATATATATATATATATATATAAAAAAAAAATTTTGAGAAAAATACATATTATATATTATTCAACACATTCAAAGTATCGCTAAATAAATAAATAATAAATAAATGATAAATTATAAATCCAATGGACATCACAATAAATATAGAATTTCATCGAAATGGTATTTGACGAGAAGCCATGTACTTCAATGCATTCATCTGTTTTTAATTTTGGTTCAACATCAAACGTTCGCATCCTTCGATTTTTCCGAGTAACGTCGACTGTAGATATCTTGAGGATCATATTTTGCCACAATCTGTTTCCATAAGTCGTTTTTATTTTTCATTAAAAACTTGAAGACTTTGTCAGTGCCAACTTTTTGTATTTCCGAACATTTCGCGCAACCGTTTTCCATTGCCTCGGGAAGTATTTCTGTAAAACGCAAAACGGTCGATTTTAAAAATACCGGTGAGACACGAGAAAATGGTTTTAATTTTTAGCGGTTATACGACGTGCATACATTTGAAAACATTAACACACATTTGAAACGTCAAATCGGGACAATGGGGACCCGATGGGTTTGCGTTGAAAATAATTTATGATTCGTGAAACAAGGAATCTTAATCGTTCGTTCGTTTAAATGCTAAAACAGTGCAGTCTCGTAGTTTAAGTTCATATCGAAACCGTAGGACTGCAGTAGAAAAATAAGAACCCGTAGTTAACGTGCGCGCGTTTGGCACGGAAAAAAAAAATAAAAAATAAACTTCTAGATAACACGCAACAATGTTGTATTTCGTAATACATCTACAGAATTATAAAACGTATCGTCTCAAAGGGTATGTTCGTCGACGGGCTACGGTTGTGAAAAACGGTTGTTGAAAAACATTTCAAACGCGTCGAGCGTCGAGCGTTCGGAGGTTGCGCGGAAACGTTTGATGGATAAAAAAAATATGCGTAAGCACACACGTTCGTAGGAGACGGAAACGGAAAAAAAGTTATTCGCGCGGTAAAGCACGGGCATGTTTACCGAACGCTGTCGGCGAGCGTCGAACGTGTATCACGTGATGGAAACGAAACACTCACTTTTGAGGAGATCGCCTTCCGGCGTACACATCCCGGTGTCCATTATGCATTGGAAATACATGTTGACCAAACGGTCGTTTTTCAGGATCGCTTCGATGTTTATGCCGTCGTATTTGCTCGTATACTTGGTGTCGGCCCGGATCACGGGCGTCGCGGCCACGACGCAACAAACGATTGCCACGAGAAGTTTGATCATTTTTCAGTACCGTCGGCGCGGACGAAGTCGAGAAACACTGTTCAATGGTTGTTCTTGCACGGGACAACCAACTGTTGCCGGGCGCAGAACCGTCCGCCGTTATATACGCACGTTCGCAAGTTCCCGCAACCCAGCCCGCGCGTGTCGGGGGGGGGGGGGGCGGGTCGGACTTCTCGCCGCGGGGTCACTTGTTGCCGATCGGGTCGAATCGGAAAAGTCTTTGAAACCGTAACGTGCACACGAAACGCGAAATCCGCATGTCGATCGCTAATTCCTTGCGGGTCCGACGCGGATAGTACGAGACCGGTGAACACGTTTGCCTTGGACGATTATGAATAATATTCGCCTTCCGAACGCCGTTGAACGCTATCTGTCCGCGCGCGAACGAGGACGTTGGTAAATCTAAAGATAAGCACTGACTACTGGTCCGACTTTTACACGGTTTTCGCGAAACGGTCGACGTCGCCCGGCCGAGGTTTAAGGCCATTGAAATCCATCGAAGGTCCCGGATTATACCAAGTTCAAAAACAGCTTTTCGAATACCTTGGGGTACCTTGGTCTCGTTAATGGTGGGAGGGGGGAAGTAGTTATGAACAATTATTACCGTTTATTCGTTCCCAGGTGTCAGATTTACGAGCCGGAAGCGCGAAGAATCTCAGAAATTATTTTTTACGTAATATGTTAAAAAAAAAAAAAAAACTTAAAACTATAAACCATTGTTTGTAGTTAATATTATTAAATTTCATTATGGTTTAGAGTCGTCACTCAATGAAACGACTGTAATTTACACAATAAAAAATGATTTTGTGTGTCTCGAATACAAACATTGTACGGTTCAAGATGTCTGCATAATGTCTCGAGTAACGATTTATGTATGCACTCGTCGTAACATGCACGGGCGTACACTTAGGTTAAATGCCAGGCGCAGCAAACATATAAATATCAGCCCCATTATTTTTTCCCACTAGCCCACGGGTAATTTTTCTAACTAATATTTAAAAACTTAAACTTAAAGTCAGTAGTCAACAAGTTTCCGATATTATTTTTTGTCTTGAGAAACTTATTTTGGTACATTTTTTCCCAACCAATACGAACGTACTTTCTGTTGGATTTTCTCCGCCTTCACGTTTATCTCAATTTATTTTAAAAATGCATTGTTAATTAATAGGCTCTCAACATATATTTATATTTGTTTGAAAACGATTAGAACATTTTTTAGGCATTATAAAATTAAAAATTCATTAAATCTCTACTGATATTAATAATTAATTATACCTACGTAATTAGAAGAAAATAAGTTATTAAACAATTAAAACAATACTACTTCGTTAACTAAATAACGTTACACCGTATATTACACGTAAGATGCGTACAACCATTAGGGAAGATCTGAATTTTTCGAATATTCAGGTATTCAAATCCGGATTTATGAATTTGATTTTTATGTGGTTTATAATAATTTTTTAATTTCTAGTAAAATAAATTATTTTATTTTATTTTAATTCAAATTTAACAACAAATTAATATTACGTTTTATGAATTATAGTGTACTAATCATAACTTCAACATTTTTATAATTTATTATTATTTACTAAAGCAACAAGTTATTTTAGTTTATATTATTCCACAATGACAATTGTCATTTGTCATTTGTTAATTGTTATTTGTCCCTTAAATTTCGGAATTTTATGCACTAAAAAGTAATTAAATATGCACGTATATATGCGTTAAAATCATCATAATACGCAGTAAAAATTGGGGATACGCAATAATATTCAATCTATTGAATAAAATACAATTTATATAAATTAATCATCTATACGAGAAAAAAAAATGTAAAAAAAAATGATAATATTGCACACTTGTGCATTGTTGTGTCTGGCTGTTATACGAGCCATTATGATACAAGCTATACAATCTTCATCGAACTTTAATCTTCTCGATGATAAACGTATAAATAACTGATAATGACTACTTTATATTAAGATACAATAATAATACCTTGGTAAATTTAGATAAAAAAAAAAAAAATATGTGTGGGTCTTGCGAACCCTCGACTAGAGCGAAGCTTATTATGACGACTTACTTAATTTTCTCATGCACTCTCTCACTCATGACGTCATTTTTATTACTATTTATATTTATTATTATTACTATTTATTACTATCGGTACTCGATTCGTATCTCTTTTAAATTGAGCAGTACAGTTAAAATATTTAATGTCAAATTGTGCTCAGTTTTTCATCTATGTCTCGCTAATCAATAAAACAGTGCTTTTTTGTGTGACTGCATCCGTTAAATCAATTTTTTGTATGTTCAACCTTTGACAGTTGAATGTGAACAATGAAACGCCATTTCTTTTCGAAATAAAATCGAAGATAACACTAGAATACTGGGCTTTAATGTATTTAACGGTCGTCTTTGAAATTCTTGAATCAAAGACAACGACGTGGCAGATTGTTGCCGACCATTGTAAAATTTAAACTTAGTTGGATCATCGTGAGGTGTAGTGATACACAAACCTTAAATGTTTGTAATACGAGACAGAACTAAATAAACCAACGGGTTTTTCCGTATTCATAAACAACTTGTCCAAATGCACCACTTAGGGATTTATGTATCGTTATTGCAGAAGCCGTGACGATAAGGAAGTGCCTATTTGCTTATAATATTACTTAACAGTAATATTTTTATTACTTTTTAGTAGAATATTAGCAGTTCTTGTAAAATATTAATATTTTCAATAAAAGTAATTATTTAACAAAAAAAAAAAAAAAAAAAAATAACACGACTTCGGTAAAAATACGAACTGAAAAAAATAAAAGAAAAATTATAAATTACATTAAATTCTGTTTTAGTCGGCTGCCTTCTATAGTTGAACAACAATGAACAATTATACTTTGAAACACCATACTAACATTGTGTTGTATCCTATTTATAATATGAGTATTAGGTATTCGTTGGTTTGAGAAATTGTTATTAATTACAAAATGTGATTACGTATAATTTGTTAGTAATTGTTTTATTTAATATTAACGGTGAATATTTGTTGGTTTATATGTGATAAAATTAAATGACTTATAAGATAAAAAAAAATGTATTCAATTGTTTTTTATGCAATACTTATTATAGCCAAACCTTACCTGACCTAGTCGTTCGTTCACCAATAAAATTTCAATTGTCGTAAAAATAAATACATTAGACCCTTTGAAAAGAAATTCTTATCATGAGATATTTTCACTATTGATTAGTTAGAACGTAATACGATATATTGGTAGAGGTAAGTTATGAGAAATTATTTAAGTAGAGTTGAAAAGAAATTTGTATAAAATATTCAAATCTATTGGTGTAAAATAATAACAGGTCATACGTTCTTGAGTGAAACTTAATTTTTTTAAGTAAAATTATAATATTTCTATGTTTTACTTGACATCCTTAATATATGTATATTTAAATCAAATTAAATTCTTGAATTCTATACATTTTATAAGTAATTTAATATTAATTCTAGATTTTTTTTTAAACATTCAACAACGGATTGTGAACAAAAAAATTAAATGCACTTAAAATCCAAACCTTTTAAATGCGATATTCTATTTTTCAATAAGGGACTTCCATAAGGACTGAAGTATAAATATAATAAAAAAAAAAATCACCAAAACATTTAACAAAAGATTTCGCTCCGGACATTCAAATCAATTGAAATTGACAAATTATTAAAAAACATTCAAAGTCTCGAATTTTTGACCTTAATTCTAATACTATCCCAAGTCATCTTCTTCGAATACTTATGAGAAAGTGATGTAGGGACATATAACTCAACTAAATAAATATTAAAAATTAGTAAAAAAAATAAAAATCTGACCAAATGAATTGTATAAAATGTTTCCAATTATGTGTTCGCTTTTACTGTGTTTTATTACGCATGTATACGTATGTGTATTTGTCCTGATGTTGAATTATATTAAAAATAATTACATAATGTATATTTAAAAAAATAAAAATTAGAAAATTTTTTGTGATATACTCGTAATTAAAAGTACATATTTACACTGTTTTGTGAATATTTTTTTATTTTTGACCCATATTCAATACATATACAATTAAGAAACAATAAAATATTATTCAAAAGACAATGTTCACACACCAAAAATGATAAAAAATAACTTCATAAAGTCACACGTTAATTTGTGTTTTTCCTTATCAAGGTATCGTATATTTAAGATACTTACAATTTGGCTTACAAAATTCCATCCTTGCGAAATTCAATAAATTATTAAACCGGTGAATTTGTAAAATTAATCATAGGATCGTGTTTAAAACAGTTTGAAGATTTTAAGACGCATAAACATTTTATTATGAACGTATGCACGAAGTTATAAAAAATTAAATCTTTTAAAAAATAAAAACTGAATTTAAATAATCAAAGTAATAGTCATTTGAAATCTTTGCACAGCGACACATTTTGTTCAGATGATGGTAATGCGCCTATTAGAAGTGCAATAAGCAACGTGATGAAGGATGTTAAAGTGTTAAAGTGGAGTAGGAAGAAGTGCTAAAGGAAATGCAGAAGTTTTGCGGTATCGAATTAAAAAAATAAAATAAAAGAATCATTCGACTCTATGTTAACAGAAACAACTTTTCAATTTTAGTAATTACTTGGTCGAATCGTTACTTTGAATAATACGCATGGCTAATATTTTATTACCTTAAAATAATCTAATAACTATTCCGAACAATATTACACGAATAATTTTAATATAATAACTTTCTTAATTCGGGTAAAGCATTGCATTTTTAATACGTTTCGTAAAGAATTTTATTCCTTTTCATAAAATATAATTTATTTCCCAATATGGCTGTGTAATTGTGATTAAATTTATTTTTAAAAAATACACGAGATACCTTTATAGTTTATGTATTTTCATATTCATTACGTCGTGACCATGGAAATGATGATTTAAATATCCACGGTTTGTTTACATTTTAAAGAAAGGCAATGCAATTGTTTATTTGGTTAATAACCATATAGAAGAAAACATGCTGCGTCGGTAACAGCATATAATTTTTAACGTCAGCCACCAG